CATAAAGGCTGCCTGGGTTTTCCCAGCTCACTCTGTCTGTTTTCCTGAAGGTGCACTCTGCACAGCGTAGGGGGTCCCAGCTGGAACAGCCCTCTGGGGCCCAGCCAGAAATTTGCATCACAAAATCCCAAGAGGCCAACTTTCTGGGGCTTTGTCAGAGGTTGTGTGGCAGAAAATTCCAACAGGATCTGCCTCCTCCTCTCCCCTTTGGCTTTCTCTCTTTGTCCCTCACTCTTATAATGGGAATGAGAAGGGGTCACACGGCCGATTGGAAAGAGAGATTATCTTCTGCCGGTGAAAAGAATGCTATTCCTTGGGCCGAGGTGAGAGGTTTCTGGCCACTGTGAAACATCAGCCTTTCCAGAATAATTTCTCTTCTGCTCACGTTCCTCTAAAAAAAAAAATGGGCTGTGTGTGTGCGTGTGTGTGTGTGTGTGTGTGTGTGTACAGAGAGAGAGTGGGGGGAGGGGACCAGTTAGCACAATAGACGAAAAACACAACAAAAATTTCCCTTCTCTTTATGCGTAATTCGAAGCCAGAGTGAGGATGCGAAAGCTGGGAAGTAAGAAACGCTGTGAGTCAGCACTGAATTATCTCTGCACTGTGGTCAGGGAGAACCCTCCAAAGTCAGGAGGTGGAACACATAAAAAACATAAGGATGCTCAGGCCCCGGGCCAGAAAGTTATTTTGAAACTTTACAGTGACTGCTTTATATATTACACACACATGCATGTTATTTCAAAATAGTTTCAAACTTACAGAAAAGTTGCAAGAATAGTCCAGAGAACTCCCGTTTGCTCTTCTCCTGGAGACCCATGCAAGTGTCACCAGCTGTCCCATTTAAGGCCTTTAGTGCAAACAGCCTAACTCAGGGTGGCATCTGGCACCCGCTTGTCCTGTCTTCTTCAATCTGGAACTGTTCCTCAGTTGTTCCTTTTCTTTCACGACTTAGGCATTTTCCAATTACAGGTCAGCCATTCTCTATTACAGAATATTCTCTAATACGGGTTTGTTAAGGTGTAATTTGTTAAAGGTAATTTTCAGGGAAAGGTAAAGTGAAAACTCTCATATGTACATACAGATGAACACATGTTAAAAGAAATCATTTTACTCATATAATAGGGAACCAGGCAGATGTTATAAGATTCAAAGGAACAGTCAAAAGAACACAAATTTATATGGAGCAAAGGAACGTTGAGATGAATTGCAAATGGAGGCAAAACTAGTTTTCTACCAGCAGAGAGAAAGTCAATTAAATCACTACCAGACAGGAAAATAAGACACACACACACACACACACACACACACACACGTATGTGTATATATATATGTGTATATATACATATATACGTACGAGTATATATGTGTATATATATCGCAGTTACTACAACTTATAAAATGTTATAAAATAGCAGCTCAAAAACAACAGGGCTAGAATCTGATAGCCCAGAAGGGTATGGTATAGGAGGTCTGTCCAGAAAGCATCCAGCCATTGTTAATATAACGAGAATGGTTTGCGTGACATTGGTGTAACCTGGCAGCCAAGGAGAGTGGACGGTAATGCACATGCGTGAACAATGACGATGTCACCGTACTAGCCAGTGGGGCACTAGACACCATTGAGTGAGCATGTGTACTGTGTGACCATCACATTCAAAATGACTGAGCAAGTAGAGCAATAAATCTACATCACATTCTGTGTTAAGCTTGAACATTCCTCCATGGAAACTATTCGGATGATTGAGAAGGTTTTCAGGGACGACGCAACTAGTGCAGCGCAAATAAAGTGTGGCACAAATGCTTCAAAGATGGTCCAGAATCTGCTGAAAGTGATCCATGTTCTGGAAAGCCTGCAACAAGCAGAGCACCTGAGAATGTTGAACGTGTACGGGCTGCAATCAACAAAGATCAGTGACTGACAGCGCGAGAACTAGAAGCTGATGTGGGGATTCCAAAAACTACAGTGTCCGAGATTCTGACGCAGGATCTTGGCATGAAACGTGTCGTGACAAAATGCGTTCCGTGGCTCCTGCTGCCAGAGCAGAAGGAACATCGTGCTGCATTTACTGATGACTTGCTTCAATCCACCACCAGTGAACCAGATTTCCTCCAGAAGGTCATAACCGTAGATGAATCATGGGTCCACAGCTATGATCCGGAAACAAAGACCCAGTCATCCCAATAGAAGTCGCCTGGTTCTCCAGGCCCAGAAGAAGGCGTGGCAAAGTCGCAGCAAGATCAAGGCCATGTTAACCGTGTGTTTTGATTGGGAAGGTGCTGTCCATCACAAGTACGCTCCTCCAAACAATAAGGAGTACTACCTCATTGTTTTTGGTTGGTTGAGAGATGCAATGCGACAAAAATGGCTACAGCTGTGGGCAACTGGTGATTGGCAGCTTCATCATGACAACATGCCTGCCCATGTGTGTCACATCTTGTGCAGTTTTTTTTTTTTTTTTTGCGAAACATCAAATCGCTCAGGTGACTCAGCCCCACTATAGCCCAGATTTGGTGCCCTGCAATTTCTGGCTTTTCCTCAAACTAAAATCACTTTTGAAAGGGAAGAGATTTCATACCATCAATAAGATTCAGGAAAATACGATGAGGCATCTAATGGCAATTCCAACAAAGGATTGTGCAGACTGTTTGGAACAGTGGAAGAAATTCTGGGAGAATTATGTGAGGTCCCAAGGTGCCTACTTTGAAGGGGATTGAGGCATCATTGTCCACAGTACAATGTTTCTTGTATCTTGTATCTTCAATAAAGATCTCTATTTTTCATATTACATGGGTGGATACTTTCCAGCCAAACTCATATTAATAGATACTGCTTAGTTTTCTATTGAAACATAGCATTTTTTTTCTACAGGTTTGTCTAATGTTTTCTCTTAATCAGACCCATATTCCATTTGGCTGGAATATCACAGATGCTCATGTTTTTTTTTCATTGATGGCACATGCTGTCTCTTTGTCTTATTGCTGGTGCTAACTTTGACCGCTGGATTAAGATAGCATCTTCCAGATATCTCTATTGTAACATTTCCCCCCACCATTGCAGTTAATTCATTTAAAAATATATAAGGAGACACTTTGAAACCATGTAAAATCCCATTTCTCTCCCCAATTTCACACCCCACCCCCAGTTTTGGCACTGATGTTTCTTCTCTGAATTAATTGTAATATTACTCTGATGATTTCCAATGGGAAATTTTCTAATACTATCATTTCTTCTACATTCATTAGTTGGCTTTCTTTTGTAGCAAGAGCTTTATTTTATTCACTTGAATGTTTATTTCTCGTGGGGCCCTGGGGCTGTCCCATACCACTCCCTGAGAGCCATTTTTGCACAACTCTTTCCAGCTCTATGTTCATTGATGTCATGTTGGCACTTTAAATTGATCATTGCAAGAGTAGTTGCCCCATGGAAATTGGAAAATGGTGCAAATCAGATTTGTGTCTGGTTTCCCCAGAGATGTGGTTTTTAAACCTCAGCGTATCACTCTATACAATGTGGACTCATTCCTTCCTGTTTTATTCAGTGGGCTATAATCTATCACAATTATTATTTATTTTGATACTCAACTTGTCCCAGATTTGCCTGTGGGAGCTCCTTCAAGCTGACTTCTGTGTACTTTTGACCTGTCTCCCATCATTTTTTGAGCATTCCTTTACTTTATGGCTCAACTAGATGTTTCAGGATTATCCAGTTCTTTCCTTGCCTTAGCCCTGACATGATCCACTTCTCCAAGGAGCCCTGGTTCCTTTTATTGGAGAGTAGTCTCTGGCCCTAGTGTGTCCCCAGGTTCTGCTCAGGCCGGCCTCACTCTGGCCACTACTTTCACTCTGTCCAATGCCTTTTTGATGAACAAAGGAAAATAATAGGTATTTTTTTTTTTAAAGGCAGGTAGCGGGTAGAGGAAGAGAAAGATCTCTTTATATATATTTTTTGACACTCTCTATCCACAGTTTTACCAAAGACTAGATTTAGTCTTCACGTGGACATTTGGGTTTCTGAAGTGGTTACCTTTTATGTGGCTGAGAATGTGAAACTTCTGAAGAGCAAAACCATTCATCAGCCATTTATCAAGTCCCTACTCTGGATGTGCCAGAAGTCACACTGGTTACTCATAGTGCAGAGCCCTGGCCCTCAGGAGCTAAAAGGACAGTGAGATGGCCTAAGCTTCTAGCTGTGGCGTGCGGGTGCAGGTGCCACCCACTTCTGGCCGAGGAAGGGAAATCGGATGCCAGGGAGACTTCCCAAAAAATGCCTAGAATGAGGGGAGTTTGGGGGTAGGACTTAGCTAGTTAGATAAGGAGGAGAAAGATGCTTAATACAGAGGGAAGAGCATATTCAAGGCAGAGACACTGGCAGACTTGGGGAACAGGAGGTGGTGTGACCTGGTAGAAGCACTTGTTCCTTTATCTCCCTGAGCTTGTGTTTTTTCAAAAAAGCACAATTGTCCTCTCTTGCAGGCAGGTTTGTCTATTCCAGGCTACCCTCCCAGAGTTCCAGTCTTGGGGTTTAACACTATTGCAGTGTCTCGTTGCAAAGACATTGCAGTGTCATCCCTAAGAAGAAACAATCTTTATCTCAAGAAAAGAGAAAGTAGAATTAGTGAGGCATTTTACCAAAGAAAGATAATAAAATATTTTTTCAGTGCTTTTTGGCTTAACTTTTTTCAGTGAAAGTGTATCCATTCTTATTGCTAGAGGTCCCCCCTTCAGTGAACATCTACCCCCATTCTCTTCCAAATGGGCTGTTGTTGCTTTTATTCATTGATGGGCTGGTGACAGTAGCTTAATCCTGATCTTTTGATTATTTATCATTACAAAACACTAGTTTATTATTATATTTTGAAATGGATAAACTTCTTTTACTTCATGGCATTGCATCTGTCCCATATCCAATCTAATCCTGAGATTTCTTCAAGATATGTTCTTTGTGTAAAGATCATTGCTTTCAAACATGTTCCTCACTTGGTTGTTTTTAAATTTTGCAGACGATACCAGAAATTGCAGAAGATTATGAAGCCTTGGTAAGAATTTATGATCAATTAGTATTGATGACTTAACACTTTGTTCTTCTCTGCATAATTACACCCTGTCCTCTGACTGATTGTATAACTATGAATCTAGATATTTTGACTAAGTGATTTATTTTTTTTTGCTTTCCGTTGATACTCTTATATAAACGGGTTCTTTAAAAATTCATTTTCCTTTTCACTTTGCAGTAGAAAGGGTATTTTATGTTTGTAACCACTAAATGATCACATCAGGATTGCTATTCTACTCCTGGAGTAATGTAAAACATAATTTCATGTACTACTTTAAGCAAAACTTTCTTTTTTGTGGCCTATGTGATGTTCAAAGTCAAAAGTCTTTGATTTTCTTCAATGGCTCAGAATGAAAAAGATCCACATTTAAAACAATATTCAGAATTGAAGTATGGAATGAAAATTATTTACTTTGAGCCCGGGAAAGTGTTTGATCGCCTATCTATTAAGTGAATTGCATGATAATTATGTCTGGAGATCTCAGAACTTCTTTCTTAGAGTTTTCCCCTGGAAGCGCCTTTCTTATCCACTGAATGGGTGAGTCCAAATATGATCTAACAAACTCTTTGAAGTAAGCTGAACAGATTTCCATGGTGCCAAGCTGTTAAGCAGATAATTTCAGTTTGAGAAGGAAGACTGAACAGCATCTCAAAATGTGGACCCTATTTTTTAAGCCCTCAGAGAAAATCCTCATCCCCTTCAATGTATGGTGGTATGACACTGGTCTCAAATCATTCATCTTTCCCTATTCCTCACACATATAAAAAGTATTAGTTGTAGGAACTCTTCTGTTTATTAAATTCTAATAAAGCAGAAAGCAATATTGAGTTTCTAAGGTAAAGCTTCTTAAATTTTATTTTGATATATTTAATACAGTAGAAGCACTTAATGGTAATGGCAGTAGAGCCATTTTCTTTTATGAGACTTTATTCTATCCTGGGCACTGTCTCAGTGTTTTCACGTATTATTTCTAACCCACACTTATATGCAACAAACAAGATCAGTATTTCCTTGGTACAGAAGTTAAAATTATCTGGAAGAGCTGCAATTTGATCCTGTTTTCTCTCTGTCAACCTTATACAATTTGCTAATGTAGAAGAATTTTGGGCTCTGAAACCAAACAATTCCTTAAAAATTTGTTTGTCAATAGTTTTAATCTTTCAGTATATCAGGATGCTGGACAGTTTAACTATGGTTCATGATTTCCATTTATTAATCATAGACAAAAATTAATGGTCAGGGTCTTGGTTGTGGTAATGGCAGAAGTAGCATAATCAGACTAATGAACACAGGTAACAATTATAAAATCTGGACAAAATATTGTAAACTAAACATCTAAAAACAACTCTTCGAAGGGACTGAATAGCAGCCCAAAGCAGGCAGAAAGTAGAAGGAAGTCAACCCTTAAAGGAACAGACAGGACTTGGATGAGATATGTGTGTTTGCAGCTTTTTGCCTGAGAACACCTGCTCATCCAGGTAGGATGGGTTGGCAGAAAGCTTCAGACTTTAGTAAGTTACTAAGAGGACATAGTTTAGGGCTGGCAGAGCAGCAAGATAATTAGGAGAATTCATGAGAGAAGGGAAGCTCAGAGGATGTGAGGCCCCACAACTACATATAAACTCTGCCCAAATCCATTGCTCATCACTGAAGTGTGAATGCACATGTGTATATGAAAACTCCAGGGGCCATGGTAAAAACAGCAACTGGAAAGGGAAAGAATTGAACAGAGACATCAGCTGTCACTCACTGCAGAGTTTGGAGTTTAATTTCCTATTAGAACAAAAATCAACACTCTTCAGAGGAACAAACCTGAATGCTGAGCCTTGGCTATGTTTTATTCACAAAGTTTAGTGTACAGTAAAATATTACTAGGTGTATAAGGAAATAGCAAAAGAAAAGCCATAGTTAAGGGGCAAAACAAAGCAGGTGATAAAAGCTAACTCTGAGGTGACCCAGATGTTGGTATTAGCAGATGAAAGTTTTAAAACAAATTTTATAAATATGTTAAAAGACTAAAGAAAAGTATCAGTGTAGTGAATGCACAGATGGAGAGTCTTAACAGAGAAATTAAAACCATAAAAAATAACCAAATACAAAGTATAGAAATGAAAAGTACAATAGTTAAAATGAAAAATTTACTGTGTGTGGGTTGAAGATGGCAGAAGAAGAGACAGTCACCTTGAAGATAGTTCAGTATAAATTATCCAATCTGTAAAATAAAATGAATAATGATAATAATGAAACTGAGTAGCTTTATTAATATCAGGCAAAATAAGGCTTGAAGACAATATATTATCAGAGATAAAAGAGGGATAATTAACAATAAAAATGGTCAACTCATTAAGAAGACATAAATCATAAAGTTATACCCATAATAATAAGGCTTCAAAATACATAAAGCAAAAATTGATAACTAAAGAGAAAAATAGACAAACTTGTCATCATAGTTGAAGATTTTAACACCACTCTCACCTGATAGGAAAACTAGGCAAAACCAGTAAGGATATAGAAGATGGCATCAATACTATTAATGGTCTTGTCCTAATTGTCATTTATAGAGCATTACACCCAACAACAGCAGGATACATATTCTTTTCAAGTACACATGGGATATTCAGCAAGATAGACCATATGCTGGGCCACAGCAAGTGTCAAGAATTTGCAAATGATTGAGATTATATAGATTATGTTCCTTGATCACAAGGGCATTCAATTAAAAATTGATAAGAATAAAGTAGCTGAAAGCCTCAGAAGTTTAGAAATTAGAAAACACACCTCCACATTACCCAGGAGTCAAGGAATAACCAGTTGAAATGACCAGATATTTTTAACTTGGTAATGAAAACATACCAAAATTTGTGGATGAGGCTAAAGCAGTGCTTAGAGGGAAATTTGTAGCCCTAAGTGCCTATATTGGAAAAGAAGAATAGTTAACAAAAATAATAATCTAAGTTTTTACTTAAGAAGCTATTAAGAAATGTGAATAAAGTAAGTAGAAGAGAATAAAAGAATTAAAAGAGAGAATAAAAAGAGCAGCAATCAATGAAATAGAAAAGAGACAAATAATAGAAAAAAGTTAAAGCCAAAAATTGATTATTTGAAAATATCTATTAGGAAAAAAAAAGAAGAAAGAAATCTAAATAGCAACACCATTAGTGAAAGAGGGAATATTATCACTATAGGTCATACTGACATTAAAAGGAAAATAAAGGAATATTATGAATAATTTTATCAATAAATTAAAAATTTTAGATGAAAAGATGAAATGGGCAAAGGACTTAGAAAACAGAAATTACCAAATGTATCGGCTGTGGATACACGTGGTGTTGATCTCCTTTCAAGAAAAACATTGACAGTCACCATGTGAAGTTCGGTTAGTTAATGGCTTCTACTGATAGCACATTAAAGATTTATGGCAGCTTTTAAATCAAGGCTGTACTCTTCAGAGGCAGCCCCTAGTCAGTGGGCATGGGGAGAGTATCAGGTCCTGGTCATTTCTGCCCAGTGTGGGACTCCTGTTAGAACAGGCAGTGTTTGTTCTGGAGCTTCCCATTGGGTGAGTTCTATCAAATAAATATAATGAAACAATACATTAAAAGGATAATACATTGTGACCAATAAGGATTTATGTCAGAAATGGTTTAATATTTGAAAATCGATGTGTATTTAACAAAGTAAAGGAGAAAACCTAAAAAGAAAAGTCATCTTAATAGAGAAAAAGCATTTCATAAAATCCAACATCCTTTGTAATGTTCTTAGCAAGCTAGGAATAGCGAGAACTTCTTCAACCTGATAAAGGCATCTATGAAAAACCCATCATACTTAATGTTGAAATACTGGATATTTTCTCCCCTAAAGATTGATAATAAGGCAAGTATGTTTTCTTTCTGCACTTCTATTCAACATCGTATGAGACTTCTTAGCCATTGCACTAAATCAAGAAAGAAATAAAAAAGCATAATATCGGAAAGTAAGATGTAAAACCATCTCTATTCATAGAAGACATTATTATCTACATAGAAAATCCTAAAGAATCTTCAAAGAAACTACTAGATATAATTGAATTTAGTGAGGTCTCAGGATACAACATCAATATATAAAAACTGATGTATTTTTAAATGTTAATAGCAAACAACTAGAAAATGAAATTTTAAAATTTCCATTTATAAAGTATTGAAATCATAATTTCTTCTTAGGAATAAATCATGATTCATTTTTAGGAATAAATTCAACAAGAGACATGATATCTATTTACTGAAAAATAAATAAACGGCTGAGAGGAATTAAAGAAGACCTAAATAAGTGGAGAGATATACCATTTCATGGGTTGGAAGACACACTATTGTTAGGTTAGCAGTTCTCCCCCAGTTAATCTCTAGGTTCAATGAAATATCAATTAATTATTTTCAAAAGAATTACAAGTCAACCCTAAAATTTAAATGGAAATGTATAGGGCCTAGAATAGCCAGAATAGTCAACAACAAAGTTGAAGAATTTAATTAACTGACTTTAATACTTATTATAAAGTCAGTTATCAAGACAGTCTGATATTGGTATAAGGAAATAGACATGGAATGAATAGAGTCCAGAATCGATATGCACTTAAATTTCCAACAAAGGAGCCAGAAGAATGTTTGATGATGTAAGTCATGCTGTGATTTTGAAGGCTAATGGGAGTGTCTAAAGAGTGACTTAGAAATCCATACCTTTCAATGTATGTAAATTTTAACCTGCCTTAAAAAAAAGAAAATATGTGGAAAAACTCAAAGGGCAGGGAAGAATTATAGCCATTAACTTTGGCAATTAAAAATGTATTTAGTACAAATTATTGATAGCTTTAAAAGTGGCCTTTATTTTCATCTTTTCTCCAGTTCTTTATTGGGCTTGCCACGCCATGGAAACATTTGGAAACACTATTCTTTTATAAGATTAGCAGCATAAATTTACATGCTTGTTTTGAGATTGGCTGAATTTTGTTGGAATGAAGATGGTCTCCACTAAGTTGATGAGAAACATTTATTTGAATCATTCCAGCACACATGGTGTGTTGGCTGTGACGGTGGCTCTCTACCAGCATGTAAAGTTTGCAGTTGACTTAACTTGTGGCAGTGAGTACTGCAAACTCTTTAGCCTAACGCTTTACAAAAAACAAATAACCCAAACAAATAAAAATGTTCCCGAATGTGCCATGCGGTTCCTTTGTATTTGTAATTCTTTTAGCCTTGATAGTGCCTACCCAGCATTGATTTCAGAGGTAGAACTTGCCTTCTGCTTTCGCTCTTGGGAGCCTGAATCATTCCTCTAGGAGCAAAAATAAATGTGTGTGTCAGGGTTCAGTGAGATCTCTTGTAACCACCTCATTTGAAAGAGGTGATTGAGTCTCTTGATCTGGAACTTGATAAAATTTTAGTATGGCCATCCTTTCCTTGCACCTGAGGATTTGAAGTTGAATTTTGAAAGAGTTCTCCCTCAGGGAAGCCTACTATGTCACTCAGCAACCAGTCATAATGAATTATATATGTTATACACAGAACATATATGTATACACACATATATAAAATATATGCAATATATTATATATGTATATTTGGCATATGTATGTGCATTTTATAAAATATTATTACATAATATTTTATAAAATATTATTACATAATAATATATAATGTATAATAGATTATATTACATTAATATAATTAATTCTTTCTATCTCTCATGTTATTAGATAGACCCAGAGAACTATCCTTCCTCTGAGCACCTCGGTTGGTGTCTGCTGCGAAGGATTTTTTCTCTCCCTTACTGATCATTTGCACTAACGGATAACTGAGTAGCACAGATAGCTCCATCTGCAGTCTCAGAAACGGTGCTCCACTTCCTTAACAGCTATAGAGATTGAAATCCTGGTCCCAAACTAACTTGGAGATTTGAAAACCCGATGATACTCTTTCTCCTTCTAACCATGTTTTTCTCCAAGGTCTTTGCAGCCTGGAGGAGTCTGTAGACACAGTTTTGGAATGTTTCAGAGGAGGTTAACTGTGCCCAGACGTTCCTAAGGCCATTTGGATTAGGGTTCCGTTGAGCAGGTAGCTAGGTCATTTTGCCTTCATTTATTAGGGAGCATAAACATAATGTATTCTTTGCTTTTAAAGCAGCTAATGAAGACAAGTGCCATCTGCATTCCCAGTCTCAGGTAGCTGACTGGGAACGTAAGAAGGGTCTGGAGCCCGCAGTGTGATTCCTCTGCCGCTGCTGCTCCCCTGCTTGTTCTGCTGCTGGTGTCGCTGTGGCTGGCTTTCATACTGTTTAGGGGCCGTAAGTGCCACCCTCACATGGTGTGTATGTGAGAATCTTTTAGCATTTGAGGTCTTTTAGCATGCCGGGCATAAGCAAATGCCAACTCTTACTTATCATTTGGTTGTTTTTCCTCTTTTTAAGTAAATAAAATAAATGACCCTAATATTGCTTACTACTAATGCTATACATTATTATATGTTTTCACAGTAATACTAATGCCTTCTCAGTCTATTAATAGATTTTACTAATTGCTTTTATTACCTGGTTCTTATTTCCTAAGGCAATTTTTTTCTTTCCTTCTTTCTCTCTCTCTCTCTTTTTTTTCTTTTTTTTTGCAATTAGAAATTTGGATTTTCTTCTGACTCATTGTCTGTAGAAAGAGTCATTCTGGAATTTTTATTTAACCTTCCTCACTACTATTTTTAACTCATTTTCACCTGTCTTTCTACTTTTTTGTTCTTTCCTTCAAATAAGTTTGCAGTTTCTGGTTTGGAATTTCTTTTCGAGGCATGATCCTTTGATGCCACCTAGGGGGCACCTGTAAGATTGGGATTGCCCATGTGCGGCTCTGAAAAGCCAGAGGTATTAGCTGGTTTCTACCCGGCCTGAATGGTTTGGCTTTCCTTGCATTTTGTTTTTTTCTTTCTGCTTCTAAGAACAGAGAATGCTTGACACAATGAAGGCAAAACGTTTGAAAATCATGAGCTTCATTCATCTTTTTAAAAGATCACTTTTGCATGGTGATAATAGCTAACACTCATAGGATGCTTCCTATTCGCTGCACAGTGGTCAGAGGGTTTTAAGGATGTTAGCTCGTTTCATTTCCCCAAGAATCTGAGTTAGGTATCACTACCACCACCATCATTGTCATCATCCCTATTTTTAATAAACGAGGAAACTGGAGCATAGAATGGTAGGATAACTTGTCCACTTAGAGCTGGAAAGGGAACTTCTGCTCGTTGACTCCAGAAACCACTGACCTGGCTATTTCTGTCTAGTTTGTCAGATCTTCTCTGGTCCCAGAAGCTTTCAGTCATTGTCCTTCCCTGAGAACCGCTTCCCCTTTCATAGGTTGCTTTCAGTGTCACAACTTCCGAACTGATGCAGAATTTCAAAGGTCATTTTTGAGGCTGGGCTGAGTAGAACAGTAGGAAGAAGGGAAATTAAGAAGCTGTTTCGAAAGAAATGAGGCTCTGTTTTCTATTCTATTAATTGAAAATAGATGGGAAGATTCAATGTAAATATGTTAGGAGCGTTAGTAGGGTAGTGATAATGGTGTGTACCTACAGATTAAAACTCTGAATAACCAACTTTATTTTTTTAAAAAATTTAGCATAGGAATCAGTGCTATTGCATAATGCAATGTGGAAATCCTGATTGGCATAATATAACATCATTTAAGAGAGATGATTTATCTTGAGGGTTTTAAGTTGATATTTATGCTGATGATAATCTATGATAAAGTTGAGTATCTGTAAAAGATTCTGAGTGTGTAAGTGTCTGTTAAAGTGTTGTTTGGAAAGCAGCAGATACTGGGATAGTGTCTGATAAGGGTCCCAGGTGGAACTGTTTTAGATGGACAGTGCTTTTATCTGAGGCCCCTAATCTCTGTTAGGATTTCTAATCCACATATTAGACACTCCCTACTGCCTTCTGAATACCAGCAAGTATTATGGTCAACAAACCCATTATACGGAGTCATTATCTCCATAGATATTCCATAAAACCTATTAATGAGGATAAAATGCTGACCAGTGTAACATCCGCATGAATGTTTTCACTTACGTATGTATTTGTGTCTGTGTATATGCATAGAGGTATGTACAGACCATTTGAATCCTTTCCAAAGTGCTAATTCTCTTAATAGAATTATTTCTAATCTTCCCTGTTGATACCTGTGGATAATAAAAGAAGCACATTGCCCTCTCGGAGCCACTCTTTGATTCATGAGAGGCATTGCTTTAAGCTATCGTTTCCTGGGTGCTTATATGCCACACACTCGATTAAGTGCTCTACCTCTACCGGCAGCCCTGTGGTTAAATGGTATCACCACCCAATTTTTCAGCTGAGAAAACAAAGTCTCAGAGAGGGTAAGTGAGTTGCCCAGTAGGACACAGCTGGCCACAGTGAGAGTCCATGTGAGCCCAGGTCTGCTTGGTGCTGAAGCCCCGACTGACCCCAGCGATGCTGCCTGCCCCTTCCTGTTGCTCATGTTCGCGAGGAAGCCGTCTGTGGCCCAGCCGCTTATCCCGGGCATCTTTTCAAATCCTGCTTGTGTTCACTTTACCAGAGCTTTCTTGCTTCTGTGTCTTGTCTCACGCTCAGCTTTGGAGCCCGTGACTCTTGTGTCTCCTTCTGTTTTGCAGCTTTGGAGACATGCTGTCCTTCACCCTGACGGCCTTTGTTGAGCTGATGGACCATGGCATAGTGTCTTGGGATACCTTTTCTGTGGCATTCATTAAGAAGGTAATACGGGTTGTGCTTCCCTAGCCTTAAATTACTTCCTTCTTTCATAGATAGTTTTCTCTGCTTTGAGCATATTTTATAATTGTTTCCTTTGTTTTCTTTTATGCTAAGCGGTGGGTGTGGTTTTTGATAGTATTATGTATGTGGGGGTCAGGATGCCCAAATTCTATATGAAAATGATATTTTGTCCCCATGGGGATTATAAGGGACTACATATGAGAACCCGAAGCTCTGGGAAAGCAATGTGTCACATTGTTAATAACTACACAAGTGTCTGCTGATTCCCTGTCCATGACTCCGTTGGTCTCTAGACCTGAGTAGAGTTCTTACTGTCCTTCTTGTACCCTCCATCCTCAACCTGGCATTTGGGGAAAGGGAGAGACGCAAAGTATACTGGCTGCCTACACGCAGAGGTTTGAAGCAGGGATGTATGAGAAGGAGGGTGCCTGGGGCCCAAGTGTCTTAGGCAGAGTGGGCCTGCTGCAGTCATGGCATGGTGAATGTCTCAGGCATCAGCCACTTCTACTGCTTCCTCCTTTGGGAGGAACCTAGTAAAGGTGGGCCCGAAGTGGCGGAGAGAGCAGAAGAGCCCCCACCATTCCCTGCAATTGAGGTGAAATAAAGACAGGCCTGGAAACTTCTAATTCTGTTTCCACTCTTCTGACCGAACATAAATAGTCCTGATCCTGAGACTTTTAGATGTTCTATTGAGTCATAGATGATTTTTTTTTATCAATGCATTAATTTATTTTTTCCTGTCTTTGTATATGTGAAATGGTTTATAAATTTACTGATATCCCCCCACTACTCTATTAGAAATAAAGAGATGTTTGGAATTCATGCATTTATTTTATAAGTATAGATTACCGGGAAGAGTTATCTAAAATAGACAATTTCAGTGAATCTGTGCAAGCTGGAAAATCAAAGCAAAGTGCAGTAGTATTCACTTGATGTTTTTAAACCTTCTATTTGGAAATAATGGCTGACAGGGAAACATTGCAAAAATAGTACAGAATTTCCTATATACCCTTCATCCAGCTTCTCCTAATGTTAATGTTTTGTATAATGATAGTACAGTTATCAAAACTAAGTAAATTAGCGTTGGTGCAATACCTTCATTTGATTGCACTCGTTTTTCTACTAATGCCTTTCTGGTTATGGATCTGATCTAGAATCCTATATTGAATTTGTCTGTCGTGTCTCTTTAACGCCCTCCAATCTGTGACAGTCCCTCAGTTTTTCCTTGTCATTTATGACTTTAACGCTTTTGAAAGGTACTGGTCAGTTGTTTCATAGAATGTTCCTCAATTTGGATTTGTCTTAAATTTGTCTGATAGTTCAATTAAGCAAGGCTGTGCTGTTTTGCAAGAGCACTGCAGAAGTAATGGTTCATCCCTCCCAGTGCATCCTATCTGGGGTCCTTGATGTCGATCTGTCTTCTTAATGGTGATGTTACCCTCGGTTACTTGGTTGAGGTGGTGTCTGTTGGGTGTCCCCACTGTGAAGTTACTTCTTTTCTTTTTGAATTAATCAATATCTTAGGGGAGATGCTATCTTGAATTGCAGGGCAGAGGATAGCCCAAGTCTGTCGAATGAGGGGTTGAGATCGGAGGCCCCACAGGTTGAACCCCTGCTCTGTGTCGCATGTTTATGTAAGATAAGAGCTGATTGGAAACCTAGAACCTTCTCGGCACACCCCTGAATCCTCTTTCCTCATGTAAGTCCGTAAAGCCAAAGGGGACAAGTAAAAGGAACCATGTAAAAAACACACAAAAAAAGGAGGAAGCCTCTTTTTGCCTATATTTGTTAGTGGTATGAATTGCTAAACAGAAAAGAAACTATTATAGATGAAAAAGCCAAAAAAAATTCCGATGCACTATAAACTGCCTTCCTTTGGTGGTGGCAAGGAGTGTACCTGTTAGATTTTGAGAGCAGAAAATGAATTGCTATATTCTCTCTCCCCAAGATAAGTTCGAGAGAAGCAAGTCCAAATCTGAAGATACTGGGGTTTGTGGATTTTTTATACTGAACAAAAATTTTAACGCTTTCTGAATTGGTAGCAGGCCTTCTTTTCTGCATCCAAATTGCCCTGCTTGTCTGTTATTACAGCTTCTTTTGCTGTAGAATGTAAAAACGATGTTGTGCTGAATGTGAATTCCTTGAAATTATGTTGTCCTTTCACTGACATTAGCTCTTTTGATTCCCCTCAGCAACCCTTTCCAGAGCAGAACAGACAGTCTTGTTATTTCTGGTCAGGAGGCGGGGATGCAGTGGCTCGCAGAGGTTGAGTGAGGTCGCATAGTGAGTGGGGCGCCCTCGGTCACATGGTTCAGGGCTCTTTTCCCAATGATCACGCACCTGTGATTTCCAAGTGCAGAGAGCAGTTCCGGGGGCCTGGTTTAACCAGCATCGCCCCTGCGCATCCCTCCCTGACCTTACAGGTAGAGCTAAGTGATTTCTTCTGCTCTCTGTTCCCCTGGGATCTCCTGTATGCCCCTGTTTCAGCACTTAACCACATTTCTATGAATTTTTTGTTCACTTGACTGTCTCTCCCAATAGACCGTTAGCCCAAGAGGGCAGAAACACGGCTTTCTTCATGACTTTATCATCAGGGCCTGGCAAGGAATAAGGTCTTAACACAGTTCCGTGAAATGAATGAATAAATTTGCTTCAGAAGCATTAACAGTAACAACCAAAAACATAGAACTTGAAGAAGAGAAGGAATACAGTGGTACTGTATTTAACTATATTTTAAGTAAAATATCAGTTATAAGTGGAAAGGAATTGTAAAGCTGTGTTTCTTTAAGTGATGTTAGTAGTGGTCAGAGAGAATTGACAGTAATTTAATTTTTTAACTGCTTAAGAAAATGGGCTTCATTCACTGAAATTAAATCAAGAATCTTATTAAATCTACAGTAACAAAGATAAGCATTTAAAAAATTAAATACTTTTTAAAAACAACACAGTTAATTTTTTGCATGCACTCATTCCAAGTCATTATATTTTCATTGCATTACTACTTAGAGATCCCTTCTATGAATTTAAAAAATAGTCATCAAAAAATTACTTAATTTTTTGTATGGTTAACTTTTTTATTCATTAGCTGGACCAAATTCAACCGTTTGACAACCCAGGAATTGTATACAGGCAACTGTCTTTTAAATGGAGCTTTATCTCGACAAAAATCAACTAGGAAATGGGCTGACAAAAGATGCCTATCTCTGTGGTCTAGAGTTGGCTTCCTATTAATGCCAAATTCATACCACTTTGGAGAAATATTTTTTCCCTGCCAGCCTCTATCTCCTCTATTACTTTATCTGTTTTGTTATGTGTGGATCTAGATTCTAGTTTACAAATTTTGGCTGCAACAAATACCATCGTTTCATAAACACTCTGAAACTTGGAATCCTTTGATGCCAATATATAATGTCATTGCTTTTTAAAGACTTGGCTACTCAGAGAGAGGGTAGGAAAACATGGAGAAGAAAGAAAGGAAAAAAAAATAGAACTTTCCGTGTTATGAGTTGGTTTTCCCCTAGCCAAGTATAACATCAGTGCCTTCTCTTGGAAGGAAAGTTTCTTATAAACGCTCTTGAAAACTTAGTTGTGCAGGAGAACCTGGCTCACCCCGTAAATATTTTCAGTGCCTAGACAAACATCCTGCCACTTTGGTTTAGAGACCCAGGAATTTTTTGCCTCTTAAAAACTTGAGAGATTTATAGGCCCCTACTCAGATAATTTAAAATGTGGGAGTGGAGCTTCTTGCTTTCTGTGGTTTCTTTAGGTTTTTGTAACATAGGAGAATTTTTCTAATTCTAAGTGTTTATTGGATCATTGATTCACACACTGCAATTCCCCATTCTTCTTAAAAGTTACCTGTATATTCCTCTGTTTTATTTAGGTAACATTTTTAAATGAATGAGCAGCATAGGAGATAATATATATGTGTGTGTGTGTGTGTGTGTGTGTGTGTGTGTGTGTGTGTGTGTGTGTAAAATTATTGCTAACTCCTCTTACCTGTTCCTCCTTGTGATACAGGCTGGCTTAGGCTGGCTCACCTGTGTCCACCAAAAGTGGAGTAACAGAGCCAGGAGAAATTTTTGAAAGGCAGAGAAAAATCATTATTAATCTTTTGAGGGATAAAGGAAATTAAAATTTAAGCAGGCAATCTCTAATCTTCTATAGCTATCCTAAAATCTATAGTTTTCAAACTGGACACAGAGAATAACATTTGTTCATTAACTAATTTTTACATTCACTAATGAGGAGTTTGTCTTGAGTTCTTTTGAAGAAGATAATTATTACATTCACTTGAATTAACCCCAATGCCGTGGTTATTCATACTCATTAAGTGAAAGTGTTAGATCATTTAAATGTCTAGTTAAAACCACTGGCAGATAAGGCAAAAGAAAGGAGTTAGTTGAAAAAACAACTATTTAATAGTATCTACTGCAGAATTGTACATAGGACACTAATGAACTGAGGACCCACTCTCAGTCAGGCAGGTACTTAGCTAGGTGTGTTACACAAGATGCTCATTGTGGAACACGCTTTAGGGTTGCTGAAATAATTGGATCCATATGTCAAGGAAGAGGTGAATTAATAGAAAAAATACATTTTAGAGAATACCTACATGAATATAAGGGATTAGTTTCATGGGAGAGAAATAAATAGAAACGGCAAATGGAAATGGACCGTTCATGTGGCTATAAATATGCCTGAATGACGGCAAAGACCACATATTATTTTACCACCATGGAGCAAACTCACTGGGCACAGGGAAGAGTTAATGATCTGTAGAGAACTTTAACACCATTATAAGAAGGTATATTTCATATTAGAAAACATTAAGAGTTCTGATTGAATATTTTGAGAAAGGAAATATTGACAAGGGATATTTATGGAAGTAGTGGGTAAATTTCCACTCAACAGAAAGCTTGAACATAGAAGGAACTGAAGAAGATGGTGTTTTATTAGTTCAGTTTCATTAGTAATAGTAATTCAGCAGTGAGTTGGACCAGTGGGCTAGTGTTGGGTGTATGCACTGAGTATGAAAAGGGAGACATCTCAAATGCATTCACAGGGACAGAAGATAAGGAGCTGGGACTATTAATCACTAATGATTGTGGATACTTGGAAAAGGGTTATAATGGAGAAGGAAGGAGTAAGAAGACAACGAGATTGATTTTTTAGTCCATTTAAATTTAGGCTTTGTTGGAATATCCAAATGGAGGTATCCTTTTGGGTGTCAAGAGTAAGCACTTAATATACTTCACAGTAAATGGCTTTCTGTCTCTCTCCACCACACTGTAAGGTTCTTGAAGTTAAAAAGTGTGTAGGTGTTGCTCATCTTTGTCTTTCCAGATGTGGGGGACAGAGCAAGCCCGTTTTATTGCACAGGAGCGGTACATATTATTATACTTGAATGGATCAATTAATGAATGAGCTAATGAATTATTGACTCATTAATGAATGAGTAAATACTGACTGAATGAAAAGAGGGGATGGAGATGGGGGGAGGAGGGAGATTGACGACATCAGCAGTTTTGAAGACTGGGTGGAGCCTAAGGCACATCCAGATTCAATAAATGAAGACAAGCAGGGGAGCCTGGAATGAGGAGGAAGTTAGTGGAGAGAAAACCCGAAGTGTTGTCAATGAACTTCTTTATGAGTTCTTTCATTTCCTACTACCACTGCCAGGAATTATGCTGAGAAAGATGGTGGGTGGTGGTGGGGGTGGTGGGGAAGTCAGGGAATTTATACTCTGTTTAGAAGCGGCCTCAGTTACGTAGTACACCACGAACACAGTGTGAGGGTAATGGGATTTTTGTCAGAGAAAGATGGCCCTAAAGGAAGAAAGGTGGCCTCGCATGATGGATTTGGAGGATTGGGCAGACTGGGAGGATTAGGGCAAGGGCTTGCCAGAGACAGTAAACACGGCAAGTTTATTAGCCATGAGAGGAACTAAAGCAGTTTTTTGAGAATCTTAAAATTCCTATACTTTTCCTGCAGTTTGTATTATAAAATAATAGCTTTTCGGAATGTAAAATCGCAATGTCACTGTACTTCACATTATTTATTTCCCACCACCTGAGATCCAGATGTGTCTGGGGCAGGCCGGGTGTTGGTAGCTGCACCTCCCACCCCGGTGTTCACCAGGGTCAGTGGACTGGAGACCACTGGGATGGCAACTGGACGTTGCCATGGGGACGTTTGCACTTTATCATGTACAAGGATGGAGAGGGGACCCCGAGGAGAGGGATCGATGGTGCAGCGGAAAGGGAGAAGTTGGTGTTGACAGAAAGAAGCAGCCAGTGTTTCCTTGTCATGGAACCAAGGAAGCAGTCATTATGTTGATATAATAATGGCCTTTTATTGTGAGTTGTCAACAGACAGTAATAACTTTTAATGAGGCCTCTAAAATAAAACCTTTATGGTACCCATGTGTTTGCATTGCTGTGATCTATTATTCTAACCCCTATGTTATTTCCCTCTTACATCGCGATTTATTATGTTTGGGGTTTTAGTGATTAATTCCTTAGGGAATATATTTTAGAGCTTAACCTCGTATTTTAACTTTTAGCACTGCTAACTTAAATGATTTCCTCTTTGCTAAATTTGGAAGAGATGAAAATAATTTCTTTTAACCATAAGAAGTTAGAAGAAGGGGGTAAAGGGTTTTCTGTTTAGGAATAGCAAGGAGAGTGGCCAGGGACTGAAAAGTTGCCAATTGAATTGTGTTGACAAGTGTGATTTGTGTGAGTCCCTTAAGAGCACAAAAGGGACAAAATAAGCACAGAAAATTCATGACTGTGTGGATGAAGGAGTAGCCTGGGGATGAAAGAGGAAGGGCTATTAGTATATTTTGAAATTACAGTCTCAGAGAAACACAGCAATCCTTACAATATATGTATTGAAATCGTCTGCCCCTGAAAGCTGAACCTCAGAAGAATAATCCTGGGAAAACCAGAAAGAATAATTCTTTACAGTTGTCTTTAAAAAATATTTATCATTGAATTATAGAAATAAGATAAGTCACGCTTTGTAATGATGTGATGACCAGTCATTGACTTGATGGAGTTCCTGCTATTTTGCTGTGATTCCAGGTAACCCTCAGTGTCTGGTGTTTCTTAAATGAGATCCCAATTTCCTTTATTTATTCTCTTTTCCACTTCTCTGCTCTATTTACCATGAATAGTCAATCATGTCCTGCTTGCATTTTCAGATAGCAAGTTTTGTGAATAAGTCAGCCATAGACATCTCCATCCTGCAGCGGTCCTTGGCCATTTTGGAGTCCATGGTGCTCAATAGCCATGACCTCTACCAGAAGGTGGCACAAGAGATCACCATCGGCCAGCTCATTCCACATCTTCAAGGGTAAGCATGCCCTGCTGCTCCGGCGAGGGGACATGCTTCAGGAGCACAGCCACGTAATGCCCTGCGAAATGTTTCGTGTCGTTCAATTAAATGTATAGAAAAAGAATCACAATTTGGCATGTAACAAAACCATGTATCACGCTGGGAGGGCACAGTGACTTCCCCCGGGGCCCACCCCTGGGTGAGGTGAGGGCCATGTCTGTCTCCAGTGCCTGGCTCTTAGAAGGCTCTCAGTATTGATGAATGTTAGTAGATATTGGTAGAGTTTTACTTTTAATAAAACAGGACAATTTGTCCTCTTAGATTTTCAATAGTCTTTCTTTAATTATGTAAGATAATATTTCCTGTGATATAATGAGTATTTTCATAGTTAATTGGAAATTTTATGTTAGGCATTTTGTACTAGGAATTTTTAAAGGCAGGCTTCTCCCTTAGGTAGGCTCAAGGTGATTGTAATGACCTTCCTCTTTTGTATTTTATAATACATGTATTTTTTCCTAGTGTCTTGAACTGTAAGGTGGAGGTAAGACAGCTGCCCCTGCAGCCTGCAGTTGGAGCTGTTTCCCCTTCTTGCCTCCCTTAAGTAACCAGTGAGGTTGTCTCTGATGATACCAACCTGAGACGGGACTCCTTTATACAGTGACACTTTAGGAATTAAAGTATTTTGGGTTACAGGTGGCAAAAAACATTGTAAACTGGCATACACAGGAAAAGGAGTTATTGGAAGGGAACCTGGGTGCCACGCAGAATCCAGAAATGACCGAAGTAGCTAAGCGTTGGGAAGGAGAAAACTATGGCTTCCTCAGAGCCCTCAGTGACAGGCCTTTCCTCCAGCATATTGGCTGGTGCTGGTGGGACCCGGCTCCCAACAGCTCCTGCCCTTGCTCTCTCAGGTCACATCTGCAGCTTCTCGGGAGGAACCCTGATGGACTCACTCGGGTTGGTGGCGCAGGGTGGGAGTGTGTGGGATATTCAGTAGTTCTCTGTAACGTTTGTTGTGTTTGTAATATAAACTACCAAAGCACATTAGACGTTTGGAGGCAGGAAGATGACCAGAATTTAAAATTTAAGCCGCAGAAGCTGTGGATTGTGGCCTAAAAATTACCACATTCTCCAAAATGACGATTTTTGTGTGTAACCTCTGTAGAAATAAGACTAGTTTCACGTTTTCCTGAATGTGAAATGAATTCACTTTATGTATCTTGAGGGCACACTTGTTCATTCACAAAGCACTTCACCAAAGTGAGGAGTTTGTTATTCTCCAAGCCCTGTGCGAAGGACTTTATATGCATAATCTATTTTATCTTCACAGCAATCCCATGAAATAGGTGTGTCCTTGCCCATGTTGCAGATGAGGAAACTGTGTTTTGGGGGTGTCCATGAACTTGTCCAAGGCCACACGGCCAGCCTGTGGTGAACTGGGTTTTGACTCCCATCCTGCCAAAGGCTTTGTTCTGCGCTCCACCTCCCCCTAACCGGCTGATAAATTATCCCCAAATGTAGCTTGTGAGCTGCCCTTTGTTTATGCCTTAGATCCTTCCTTTTTACTGTTTACCATGTGGCTTACATTAGATCTTTGCTTCATTTAGAATTGCTGATTTCTTTCCAGTGAAAAGCAAATTTAGAAACATAAATACCTATTCGTTTTGTTATTAAAAATTTTCTATTTAGAAATAGATTTTTAGAATATGTAATATCATAGCCATGGAGACAAGCAATTTCCTTTAAATTAGCCCAGGAATGTGGAAACATCTAAAACTACTCGCTGATATACTTTATGCATCAAACAGAAAATGACACCAACCCACTCACACACACAACTGCTGCTACTGCTAACTACTACTACCTCTCCTGGGTTCATGCTTTTAATCCTAAGAGAAGAGAAGGCTGCCTGGATTTCCGGGTGATCTCCAATGAGTGGTGTCCTGTGCAGCTAGTAACAGCAATTGTACACCTGCTGTGTTCCAGCTTTGTGGTGGTTGGAATGCATACTCAGAGCTGAATGCTTTTTCTAGGCCCTGTCTTTCTCTCTCACCTCTTTTTGGCTGGGGGTGAGTGTGATTTTGAACCTCATAATGGTCTGACTCAGGGGGAGCCTCTTCTAACTTTCTGTATTGTCCTGTGTCCTTACAGGTCAGATCAAGAAATCCAAACCTATACCATTGCAGTAATTAATGCACTTTTCCTGAAGGCGCCTGATGAGAGGAGGCAGGTAAGTTGCATTTCTTTAGTCTTAAGACTGTGTCCAGGGCTGGGAACTTTTTGTGCAGAGAACACCCTTTCCTTCCTATCTAGGGATCTTCCTGGGCCACTCGGTTGCTCTGGCCATAGGTGGGTGCTCTAGAGCAGCTGTGCTCTGTAGCTTGTGGCTGGCAGTCTGGGATCCTTCCCAGATCCAGGGGGAGGCGGGTGGAAATGGGTCAGCCCCTGGCTGCTGCTGGAGTGTCCAGCAGTAGAAGCCCATGTGGCCACTGTGGGGAAGCAGAGCTGGAAGTCCCTGGGATTTTCTCTCATTTCATGGGATACTCACTAGGGTGGGCAAAGTGTTTCCCCATTTTCTGGATCAAGAAACCGAGACCCTAATAGGTGTCACTCTTTCTCCAGGCTGGGGGCGATGGGAAGTGAGAGGACAGGAGGGGAAACATGCAGACTGCTGCTGCTGGTCGAGATAACTGCAGTCATGTGTCAGAGGGCTCTGTGCTCGGCGAGATCACTCCTGTGTGGATGTGGCTGGGAGGGGCACGCAGTCCATTTCCCCTCTGTTTAAAAAGGGGAGGAAGCCCCTTAAATGTACATACATGAAACCTGTCCTTTGATAGTCTCCTTTGTCTGTAGATTCTTTGTTGTTTTTTGTTGTTGTTGTTAACTAGAGAAAGGACCATTATAGAGGGATGTGGGAAAAGTGGAATTTTGCCTTGTCTTGGAATTTAGCTCACACCTTAAAATCCACTCATGTTTTCTCTATCAATATACCATGTAATATGTTACCCTGCTCCCAATTCACTGCCTTTAAAAACTGGGTGGAAATATGAGGTCTTTAGAAAGCGTGCTGGGAGCTCGACAGCAGTTACCAATGAATTGTTTTAGAAGAATTTAGAAAGCGAAGCTGCTACTGAACGCTGTGTTGAGTATTGTATTATTTTATTTGCTTATTACCAAGAATTTTAAACCTCAGTGACTAAATGTGAGAGATTCTGGTTTGTTTTACATTTAGAATTGCTTGTTCGTTCCTGGGAACGGGGGCTGTGTTTGTCCAAGGAGTCGTGTCACTTTCTAGTTTGCTGTATATTTGACTTGGCGCTGGCTGGAGCTAGGGGGAGGTGCCCGTCCTCCACGACCCTGTGCCAGGGGAGCTCTTACTTAGGCTGGATTTTTAAGGGTAGCTTTACAGAGCTGAGGTGGGATCATAGACAGGGCTGCACCTTTGATATTTTTATCTAAATACCGAGCTCATGATAACTCCCAAGCAGCCCAGGAATTTGCCTGCAGCTCTCACTATGGACATCCCCAAGCTTGATGTGGGCATTGGAGAAGCTTGATCCTTCTACTGGCCAGACCACGGACTTTTGGCCAAACCACATGGTAGCTGAGTGTAGAGTGTAGACTAAGGAAGGCTGAATTCTGGTATCACTCTTGGAAATTTCCTTTCCCCATCTGTGAAAGAAGAGGTTGGATTAGAGGAAATGAAAGTTCATGCCCACCCCAAGGGCTGTGGTTTCACTTGAATCTCTGGGTCCAGACACTAGTAAGATGCATACACTTTACATCTTGCTTTACACCACACTACTATTCGTTTGTTGGATTCGACTCTCATGATCATGAAAAAACAGAGAATCAGTTGTCAATCTGTGCTGACTCCAGGACATTGATAACAATGGAATTATAATGGAATACCAGTATAAGATTAGGCTGAGATTCTGTGAATCAAATCTTTTTTTGGAAAATTATACAACATGAGACAGGCATGAAACCATTTGGCCATATATTGCTATAATAAACCACCACAAAGGATTGTCTAATAATCTTAAACCACTTAAGAAAACAATCCAATTTAGAAATGTGGGAAGTTAGCTATGCTCCCAGCAAAAAATTGGGTCCCTTAGGTAGGGGTCGTCGCAAAGGATAAGAAAATAATAGAAAATGGAAAATAATAGAAATAAAAGCATACACAGAGACGAAGGTATAGTTTTATAGATTTATAAAGATAAAAGGCAAAGCGGGATACTCAGGGGTCCCTGTGATATCCCCATGAATTGTAAGGCCCAGAATAAAGTTTCACATGGGCATTTATAGGTACAGAGATTGGTTGCCAGGGGTAGCAGATTTACATAATAACAGGCAATTTGTTTTGAGTTACAAGTATTTCAAAAGGCTTCTATAGATCCCTTGACTAACTCTGGTTACAAAAACTTTCAAGGACAAACTTCTAAGTTCTAAGATAAAGCTGTTACTTAACAGAAGGGTTAAACAGAGATATAGTGGCTCCATATTTCTTTATCTAGTTATTGCAGTTGGAGACAGGTCGCCAGAAGTCAAGCAGGAACTGTCCCTTGGGCTAATTGTTTTTAGCTGCAGGTATCTGTCTCTGGGCGGACACTCTTTGATCAGCTCTCATCCCGTGATTCCAATGTAGAACTTGCTTTGTCCTTCAAAGCAGGTGAGAACCACCACAGGGTTGAGACCACAGCGTCACCTTGGAAAGCAGCTGCTGCTGACCTTTGAGATGCCCTCCTTAGGTGGAGCAGCTTTTGATATGCAAACTAACATGTTCACATATTCTTTCAGGGCAGAGCCCTGCAAAATTCCTGAGACCATTCCTGTCTCTATTATAGTACTATTAATTTATGGAGTGACAAGAAAGAGTATGTATAATCCAGAAGAAATTTATAAGGTATTATATAATTAATAGAATCTTTGAGATACAAATATCATAGCTACAAGGTGTTTACTTGCCCATGGAAAATTAACCAGGACTTACAAACTGTTGAATTTAAGACTGTTGTTTGTCAAAATAAATGGAGTATTATGATTTTTAAATTTTTAACAAAAATTTTCAGTGAGTTACAAGAGCATTAACTCTAAAAATGATTTCAAGTTCATAATGAAGAATAGTTTGTTTGATATTATTTTCTGAAAGTCGGTAGAGGCCTGTAAAGCAGATGAAGCTAATTGTTGATATCACTTGGGTTGATATGGATTATATTGACAGCTGAGCGTATACACCCTAGTCTGGATTTCATATTATAAGTAAATTAAAGTTTTAATTGGTGTAAATTTGACATTGACATTTTTATTGGCATATGTTCTAAAAAATAAAAGTTATGAATTTTTTGGCAAATAGTAAAATTTCCTAAAGTCTGCCATTAACAATAGCATTGTTGAGTCTGCCATGTGTTTTACAGTTCATTATTTCATTTTATTCTCATATTAAGTGAAAGCCATATCATTTCTATTTTACAAATGAGGAAACTGACTCACAGGGGGTAAAGAACTTGACCAGGTCGCTGAGGTGGTTGGAATCAGAGTTAGAATCCCACCCTGTCCCTGCTTTCACCGGGAAAGCATTCCAGCGATTGCTGATCAAGGAGGCGTCACCCACAGAATTCTCTTGTATTTGCCAAGTAAAGAGCTCTCTGAGGCCCGAAGGACACCACCAAACCCATTTTCTCGCTCTAATAAGATTAAAATATAATCTAAGCATTTATTATTGAATTTGTAGGAACACCTTTTATTTTTGTTTTGTGTGTTTAAAGCCTTAGGACATTGGATACATTCCGCTTCAGTCTAATACTTTTATTTATTTCAGCTTCTCTTTGTGACACGGGGCCAAACACAATCATAGGACTTCATTATCTGAGTTTCTTTATTGTTCAAAATGTGTAAACTTAATTTGGAATGCTTTTGAATACCTAGAGCTTATTTCTGCCTTTTAGTACCACCACAGTCAGAGGGACCTGAGTGATTTTTTTTCCTTTGCATCCACAGAGTGGGCCTTACTGAGAGAGCTCCGTGCTAGGGCTTGGAGTAGAACTCTCTCCTCTGGGGATGCCTCCCGGTTCCCTCAGAGGTGGAGGCCTTGTTTCTCCATGTCCCCAGGATATAAGGATATAGGAGAGTCTCTCTTTCCCTGCACAAACGCAGGGAAGGGATGCATTAGTTTTGTGTGGGAGGGGGTTGTTGTTAGGTGGGCAAATAGATCCTTGTCCTTACAACTACCTGCTATTATCAGTTTACTGTTTCAGTGGCAAATATATTAGGAAGATCCCTGCCAAATTTCTCTACAAGTACTTATGGTTGTGATAAGCATTATTTAAAAAAACTTATTAGTTAAAGGATTTGGTAGAAAATTAGAAAATAAAGATTCAAAAGGAAGAAGTTTGAAAGCTTCCCATAATTGAGTTCCCAAAGAACCCCTGCAGTTACTCACAACTCTTGTGACTTGTATGGTGCTTGTCCCACTCGGTTCTATGCAAATATTCTCCTATATATATCATTTTTTCACCAAATGTGAACATACTACATGCACTGGTGTTTTTGTTTTTTTTTCTTTATAAGAAACTGCTTTTAAAACTAAATAATATTTTGTGGGAATCTTTCTATATCAGTATATCTATACCCATATTTATATCTCTCTCTACTTTTATATCATTTTGATGCTATAAAATATTCCCCATGAATTCTCACATTTACTCAGACAATTCTCTAACATTAGACAAAAAAAAAAAATCTATGATGTAGACAAGGATATTTCCATTTTCTTTCTGACTGAGCTCCTGTTTCTTAGGAAGGTAGTATAAAATATTTATTTGTTCTTTTATCAAACATTTATTGTCTGCTCTGTGCCAGACATTGTGCTCTGGGCTTGGAATACAAAGAAGAATAAGACAGTCTCTTGCCTATGAGGCGCCCATAGCTTTATGCAAAAGATAAATGTTGTAAATAGATAGTTAAAATAATTGCTGTAGTAGAAGTTGGGAATATATTGTCTCTTCTAGCTTACTTTAAAATCTTATAAACTGATAGACTAAAATAGACAGGGAATAATATTTTTTTTCTTTTTCTTGTTTGTGTGTCTATTGGGCAGTCATTTCATTTTATGAAAGAAAAAGAAATTAAGAGAACTGTAGGATCCCTTGGGCCCTTTAATTGTCATGTGATTCAAGAAAAAAAGAAAAACCAACCAGTGGGCCTTTCTATGTAGATCAGGAAGAAAGCACTGCCTTCTGCACGCATCATGAAAGGGGTTGCCATTTAACTTGTTTCTGAACGTGCCCTTGCCTCTACTTTGTTGTTTTCAAAGAACGTGGAAGAGCACTCAGTATTGGATTTCGACTGTAGTGCCCATAGCGGTTCCGAATCGCCTTACAGTATCTGTGCACTTTTCAATGCAGTGGCTCAGCAGGGTGTGGGAACAAAGCTGCCGGCCTCTAACAGAGTCCTCTGAATTTCCATCCCTTCTTCTCTCCTGCTTGCTTTCCTTTCTGTGGTGGCGGTGACGCTGTTAGGTTGATGTAGAGAGCAATGTTGACATCCTTGATTGTCCTCTGACTGTAAGTCACCCTCATCCCCTTGTCAGCACGCAGTGGGCCCTGCTGTCCCGTGCCACTGCTGTCCACCCTGCTTGTGTGCCCCTCATAGCGCCTCCCCCCCCAACCCTGTGTTCTTGGTTCTCTTTGCTTTCCGCAAGTTTATTTTAACCTGGATAGAATTCATGGCTGTGTTTTTTAACTGTAGCTTAGTTTCTTCTCTACTCAGTAAGAGTAGGAACACCAGAAATTACCCCCTCAACCAAAAGGCAATATTCAAGTGTCTTCCTGAATATGAGCAGTATTTTTACTTTCGAATATATGCACCAAGACTGTGCTTGACCATTTAATTTTCAATAAAATTTGACTACCTGTCAATATTTGGAAAGGGAATCTGTGAATCATTTCATTTAATAAAATTACCGCTAATCCTCTATGCGAGTCAGGAGAGGCCAAAGCACAACTTGCAGAAATGAGGCCCAGCAGAGCTAAGCTGAGTGTGGACGCTAGCGCTTTGCATCTGCCCAGATAGATGCTCTTTGATGAAACTCCACTCAGTTCACTTGCATAGCCTATTTTCAAGTCCTGGGGTATGTACTAGTCACTCTTTGGTTTTGCAGAGATTAAGATGAAATGGCTTTTAGAAGACTTAGATCTTTAAAGTGATGGTTCTCTAATATTGGATCTCCTTGCCACAGGCAGGTGTTGCCTAGTAAAAGCTTTCTGCTCACACATAGTCTGATAAAAGATGATGAGGCTTTCTAATGGAGAACCATTGCTTTCGTTTGGAGTGCTTGATTTTTATTCAACACTCACCCTTTTCCAGAAGGAGGAAATTCCTGAAAAAAAAATAAGTTTTCAGATGCCAGTTTGCGAAGTTTTCCTTCGCTTTTGGACATGGCTTTTGTAATCTAAATGGAATATTCAAAAAACAAATTGAATACTATTGCCTGTTGGAATTCATTGTTTCTTAAGAAATACTGCTGATATACAGTGAGGAAGACACCTGGGGACGCAGTCATTTTCAGCCATGTTGAAGTGTATCCTTCTAACCTAAGCCTCTGTGTGGGTGTGTGTTTCTTCAACAGGAGATGGCGAATATTTTGGCTCAGAAGCAACTGCGTTCCATCATTTTAACAGTGAGTACCTGCGTGCTCGTGGGGAAGCGGGGGGGGGGGGGCTTGCACATTTATTTATCTCTTCTTTGGCTTCAGTCTGTGGTTCACTCTGTGACTTGCTTCTGTGGTGAAGCAGTAGGAACTATAAAGAAGTATAAAGTGTACTTTTGGAATTGGAATAAATAAGGCTTTCCTGCAGGAAGTGCCTCATGACTAGAGGGCGGAGTCTCCAGAACTTCTGGGAGAGAAAGGGAAGGGGAACCCGTTTTGCCAGGAGAGGTTGGGAATCTCTCCCGGGGAGCAGGTGAAAGAAATCAGGGCTTAGAGTCCATAGATATGAGCTTTTACTGTCTTAATGAGAACACTAGCTGGAAACATCAGGTACCCAGGGAAGTCCTGACATTTTGAGCATCATTTTCTGGGGCTCCCTTGCCAGAGGGAGGAAGGAAAGGTGCAGGTGGGAACCATCATTCACTGCAGTGCAAAAATAACCTTAAACCTCAGTGGAAAAGAAGCCCTAAATGTTTAGAATATTTAGAAATAAACCAAATAGCAAGATTTCCTGAGGCCTTACCAACTACTTGACTTACCAGTGACTTGAAAGAAGCAAGTTTGATTGACTCCCCTGCTTACAAAAAAAAAGAAAGAAAATGAATTTCTGTTTGTGGTGCTTCCAAAGAGGAGTTTAGGAAGCTTACAATTAAACACACACAGTTTTAAAATGTAGGTTTTATTATTAGCCAGGTATGGGGAGGCCAACAGATCAGGAGATGGCTACCATTGGAAAGAAAAGCTTGTTACTTCAGTTCCCAAAAGGAGAAAAGGAGGGGGCGTGTCATGCTGGGGCTGGGCTCTCAGGGGACAGAGGGAGCTGGAGGAAACTGGGCAAGAGCCTCTACTGTGGATTTTGAGGGAAGGGTTGGGTGAGGCCCAGGAAGCTGGCTAAGCAAGCCTGGGATTGGCTAATATGAATAATTTCAGTGGGCTCTGGGGTTTCTGGGCTGTCTCCAGTTGTCTGGTACCTGTCCCTGGCTGGTTAGCACAGGGGAATAGTGGGGAGTGAGTGCTGGGGCTCAGGACTGGTTAGTTTGCGTATGAAAGGAGTCATTTATTATCGCTAGGAATTGGCTAGAGCTGGGACAGTCATTCTCTCCAGAGTCAACAAAGTCCCACAAGTCAAAACATCAGAAACACATGGTTAATAACCCACCCCCCAACCCCCACCCCCACACTCCAATGCAAGAAAGCCATCAAAAACTAAAAACCTTCTGAGGGCAAAGGAAATCTATGTTCTAGAAGAAACCAAGGTCAATGGTAATGGCTGTAATTTGTGATCAGGTTTGATTTAAAATTTCCTGGCTGTCAAGAATGATGAGAAACTTGAGTGTAATTTTTATTGTTTGATAAAACGAGGTTCCCCAGTTCTTTGGGATGGCAAACCTTTTCCCTCTGGAATTGAAATCTGAAATGGGTCCTGGTACAGCATTCTAATAGATTCCAGGTCCAGTAATGGTTTTGTAAGAGGTGCAGAAGGATTCATAATATGGGCATTTTTCTTATTGGCTCTCAATAAAAGTAAAAGCTGCAATATTAAAGTGTAGTTCAGTGTCTTGATATTCCGTGGTGTGGCAGTCCAGGTTAGAATGCCCAGAGAAATAAGTGACATTAATGACTGCGGCCACATTGTCTCAAAGAACAGTTTGCTTCAGTGGGACTTCTCTTAGGAGATGTTGGTGGCTGGAAGTTGAGGGTTGGTATTCTCCATCAGGAACTTGCGGTGCGATACTTTCAGGTTGCTAATAAAATAGCCATACACTTTGGGTACTAAGGGTGTGCTGCTTGCTAACATTCTGTTCTGAAGACTGAAGACTATGGGGTTTGATTCCCCCTCTTTACCATTGTTTAGCTTCTCCCCTCCCATAATTGCGGTCCAGCCACTTTGTATCCTCTTACCCTTCCCCGCCTTCTTCCTTCTATTCCTCAGGCTTCTACTGCCCCACCTCCGCTTTAGCTGGTTGTTTCAGCATGGTGCTCGCAGCCAGGTCTGGGGGCATGCCAGATTGGGAGGCACCCAGGTGGCACCCTAGGGACCTAGACTTCCTCTAGTCCTGGCTGTAATGTCATTTTTTTCCATACTGGGCAGCTCTGACATTCACTGAACCATCATTTAAAAGTCAGTTTGTAGCAATCTACCCAGGAGCAACAACAGAGTGCCAAGAGAAACGGTCTTTCAGATAGCAAGACATGGCTCAGTCTAGCACGTTTGAAATAACTGATTTGAAGGTTTGTTTTAACACATTGACTGGTTGTTTGGCATTTAAAAGTGCAACCAGCATCTCCGCAGAAGAGGCTGTGTGTTTGGCCCGAGTGTTGAATTGGTGGCAGCTGTCCATTTCTGTCCAAAGCCCAGCTCTGGGTGGAGGGCAAAGGCCCATGTATCCAGTCTTCCTGCATCTCCTTTTATATAATGTTTTCAGTTCTATTTCTATGGGGAAGAGTCATTTTCGTTTTCAATCATTTGTTAACAGGTGAGTCAAGTAATGCACAAGCATTTGCTCGTGCGTTGTGATGGTGGAGGTCCTTGTGTAGCTCCCACAGTGAATTAACTACAAATTTGTTGGGGATTTTATTTTTGTGCGTTGCTTCTAGAACTTTTCCCCATTTAGAAGTGGGCTTGCCTATCAGAGACAGTCCTAGGGTAAGATGATGGCAAGATTGCTTCCCTTTCACCAAGGTATGAACCATTGGTTCCTCCACTGCATGCAAGGAATGCTTCCTTTGTAGAAATCCGCAGCTGTCTTGCAGACACCCTCATGTCAGCCACACCTTCTCTTGATTTATTTGGCTGCAGTCACCAGTCCCTTTGTAGTGCTTTCCCCCTGCCACTCCCTCCTGCACACAGGAGGTCTTTTCCTGGGTTCTGGCCTAAAGATCAGGAAGCTTACTGGGCCCTGTAATGTAAAGGGAAGCTCCAAGAACACCAGTGCCCTCAACTTTCTTCAGAAGAGTGGGTCTACCGGTCTCCATGCCCATGCCTCCAAATGAAGACTGCTGAGGTTTTACTTCAGGGGTAACTGTTATTGTTTCCTTTTCTTTTTTTTCTTTCTTTTTAAAATTTCACTTGTGAACCATCTTCCTAGCACGTCATCCGAGCCCAGAGGGCCATCAACAATGAGATGGCGCACCAGCTGTATGTCCTGCAAGTGCTCACCTTTAACCTGCTGGAAGACAGGATGATGACCAAGATGGACCCCCAGGACCAGGTGAGCACTCACCGCATAGTGGTCAAAGCACACGAGGGAAAGTATCATTAAAAGTCTTTTCTTGAGCTACCCTGAAACCAGGAGTTTTCAGATATTATTGCTTTATTATCATCTCAGAACTTGGGTGCGTGACTTTACCATTCAGGTGAATCTGGAATCAGAAAATAAAATAAATGGATTCTTCCAATAGGCCCCAAACACATGCACATTCTTCCTTCATTGAATAAAAAAAGCTTTTCATCATATGGCCAGGGACCTTGGCTTGGTCCCAACACCTTCAGTGGTAATGGCTTTGCAGTCATTCTCCATTAGGGCCACTTGGTAGCTCTGTGTGGCATTGACTCTGCCGGTTGAGGAAGTAATTTCCAATTTCCAGTGATCATTGCCAAGAGTGGAGCCCCAGGTTAAACCCCATTTCTGGGCTGGCATTTTTGTCAGTTGGCTATCTGCTGTAACTCTCCGCTAGGTCTCGGGTTGTTGTGCATGAAAGGTTATGTCCCCATGCGAAAGGCTTTTGGAGAACTTTGCTGTGTGAGGACAGAGGGAGAGGAAACAGCTGGGAGCCCTGCCGTAGCACATTTTCAACCTAAACAGGGCTGCAGCTTTGGAAAGGAAAACACTCATTATTGGCACGTGAGGGCCTGATCTGTTGCAGATGTGAACTGCGTCTGTGCAGTGTGTCGCTGCCGCAGAGCTTCACTCATGGCGCGAGGCCATGCGATTAAGGGTGATGAAGAGGCTTTGAAAGGCCAGCGCATGTGCCCCGTGTTTTTGGCGAGGCTGAGCATAGTCATCCCAGAGAGATGAGACTGTCATCTTAACCCTTCTGGTGATGGAGAGCAATGCCTCTTAACAGGGAAAGACCTTGCTTGTTTGTAATCCCTTCCTTTTATTTACTATGTTGTTTTTATTGTGGTAAAATATACGTAACATTTACTGTTTTAACTATTTTTAAGTGTACAGTTCAGTGGTGGCATTAAGTACATTCACATTGTTGTGAAAATGTCACCGTCATCCACGTCCGGAGCTCTTTTTGCCTTGCAGAACTGAAATTCTGCACCCATTAAACTCCCTGCTTGCCCCCTCCCACCAGCCCCTGGTCACCACCATTCTGCTCTCCGTGAAGTCCATGACTCTAGGGATCTCACAGAGGTGGAATCAGATAATATTTATCTTTTCGTGTCTGGCTTGTTTCGCTCAGCACAGTGTCTTCAAGGTTCACCCATGTCGTAGCATCCATCAGGATTTCCTTCCTTTTTAAGGCTGAGTACCATGGCTTTCTATGTCTGTACCACACGTTGTTTGTTCGCTCGCCCACAGATGGATACTTGGGTTGTTTCCACCTTTTGGCCCTTCCTTTTATTTTTATCCTGTGTTCGTTTCCATGAGGTTCCTTCTTAGTGGACTTAGGGACCCCTTGTAAGTCGAACACTGTTCACCAACTTTGCGTGTCTCTCACTTTGTTTCTATCAGTCCGTTACCCCCAGTTTCTCTAGCTTAGCCTTCACCAGTGATGACCTTTCCATCATATTTGGGCCTCTCATTTAGGACTGTGCTGGGCTGAGCGGATCATAGCCAAGGCCGACCAGCAGGGAAAGTGGCAGAAAGCAGCAGTCTGCAAAGCCCTAACTTAGAACATTGGTCCTCTTTTATCTATTTTTCTTTTGCCTGAATACAGTGATTCGTTTAGACCCTGGGGAAGGAGGGAGTATATGTAACTTCACACAATGAAAGCAAACTTTTCCTCCCTCCCCCTTTTTTTTCTCCCTAACTTCTTCAGGCTCAGAGGGACATCATATTTGAACTTCGAAGAATTGCTTTTGATGCAGAGTCGGAACCCAATAACAGCAGCGGCAGCATGGAGAAACGCAAGTCCATGTACACTCGGGATTACAAGAAACTTGGCTTCATTGTAAGTAAGCCATCTCCCCTTCCAACCTCCCCAGTCTGACCTCAGCCGCATAAGTGATGTCTCCTCCGAGCGTGTGGTCCTCTTGTGCTTTACAAAATAGTTTCCACATTTCCAGATGTTCAGCTGGTTTAAACAGGATCACATGAAAATCTCTTCTGGCCGCAGTGAAGTGGAATAACTTGCACAAGTGTGACTAATACTGAGTTTGTTTATTCAGTTCTGATTAAGGGTAACCAAGAGTAGTTAGCCCGGAATGCCTCTAGACTTCATTAAATCTACTTCACAAGATGCTTAAAGTTCTGTTTGAATTAAAAATGATGATGGCAGCTGTGGGATGGATATTATTATTGGGTTAATGATTGGATTACTTACATAGACTTCATATCAAAGTCAAATCAGAAGTCTCCTGAAGTTTAATCACAATGAGATTTATGAAATTTCTCTTTCCTAAAAGCTTTCTCTTGCTATGAAAGCTAATAAGTTGTCTCCTAGAGGTTTTTTTTTTTTTCAGTTTGCAAATCAGAACACAGCTTGTCCTGAATATAACCTGCTGTTTACGTTTCTGCTTGCATTCTATTCTCACCTTTATCACCATCAAGTTTCTGAGTGACCTTTAGCTAATACCGAATTCTGCAGGTGTAAAATTGAATTTCGGTTCTAACCTCCATCATAGACAACATGGAAGAGATTTTGGCCAGGTTGATTAGAAATCACTGGGCATTATTTTATAATTTCAAATACTCTTTCCTTGAAAAAAATATATACAATATATATGTGTGTGTACATATACACACACAGACACACACAGTAATATCTATACACCATACGTATATCTGTGTATATATACACACTAATATTAGTATTTATGCATATTTTGACAAAAATGATGCTGCACTTTACGTGTTATTTGGGACACTTTGTCCTCCATGGGAATTTTCTTTGAAAATATTTTCGTATCAGTTAACATGTATCGTGTTTCATTACTGAGGAGTTTTTCGTCGTTTGGATGTAATACAGTTTATTTAACTAAGCCCTTTTATAAAATGATTCTATGTTTTGAAATTACCAATAAGTATATAATTAACATCTTTGCAGCCCAGTATTTATTTATGCACATCCATGATCACATTATTAGGCTAAATTTGTGAAGCTATTATATAATTTTTGTGGTATATATTTTCAAGGCTTTTAATATTGCCAGATTGCTTTCCACAAACATTGAATAATTTCCACTTTAACTAGCAGTGAATTAGATGGTCCATTTTTTAAACCTTCTCCAGTAGTGTTTTTTAAACTAAAAAAATAAAACTAACAATCTGATACGTTATTGTTTTTATAGTGTTAGTCTTAATATGACATTTTTAATAAGAATACCTGTTGAACATTGTATAATATTCAGCTTGCAACTTGCTTTACAAAGGTATTCTAACATCATTTTTATATGATCATACCTGATATTTTGATCTTGACATTCCATTTGATCTTTTAGTTGAATCGATTTTTTAAAATTTGAGCAAAAAGTGTCATGACTAGTGGAGCAGGTGAGTTTCCTGTGCTTGGGTGTCAATGATCATGGGTGGCAGTGCCCCTGTTGGCAGAGCCCCTTTGCCTGAGATACAGTCCAGGGAAGGTAGATGGGACTCACTTTCTACCTTACCCTCAGTTCCTGACAAGTTTTGCTTTGGTATGGTGAGCAAAGTATATCTGAATCACTTGGGAAGATTTGCAAAATCACCCTCAAGTTATATCAAAATTGCCAAGGAAGAGATCAAGGCATGTGCAATTTGAAAATACCCTCAGTTGATTCTGATACTCTTTTCTGGGGGAGAGACTAGTTCTAGGGTACTCCTGTTAACTGCAATGTCATCTTCCGCCTCCTGCCACTGCCTGGATTCTTTCAAGCTGTGCAGAAAATACCAAACCTGAGCTCTTTACATGCACTGTGTCTCTGCCCTGGGTAGTAGTGGTTTTCCTTGGGGACAGCTGGATTCCAGAGTGCCCAGTATGGAGGGACGGAGGAGAGTGAGAGCTAGGGGGACGACCACTTGTTGGGCCTGGGATTATTACAGGCTCTAAGTCTTTATGAGGGGTGTATAGAATGGGGGTGGGCAGTAGGAAGCATCTCTTTTTATATTTTCAGGCTCTGTTCTTACGTGAAATCACCAGGGTATTGTACGAGCCAAAATCTGAGTAATTTTTCTAATGCAGCTCTGTCTGTCCTGACATTATTGTTAATTCCTTGCATAATTGGGTCTTAGGGTGTATCTCCATCCTAGTTTTCTGCGTCTGGCGAATATTCCGCTTCACGAGTGCTTTACGAAGAACGATGCAGGTTTTTAAAAATCAAAATTAGGCCAGGCGCGGCGGCTCATGCCTTTAATCCTAGCACTCTGGGAGGCCGAGGCGGGCGGATTGTTTGAGCTCAGGAGTTCGAGACCAGCCTGGGCAAGAGCAAGATCCCGTCTCTACCAAAAATAGAAAGAAATTAATTGGACAACTAAAAAATATATAGAAAAAATTAGCCGGGCATGGTGGCGCATGCCTGTAGTCCCAGCTACTTGGGAGGCTGAGGCAGTAGGATTGCTTGAGCCCAGGAGTTTGAGGTTGCTGTGAGCTAGCTGACGCCACGGCACTCACTCTAGCCAGGGCAACAAAGTGAGATTCTGTCTCAAAAAAAAAAAAAAAAAAAGAAATAAAAATCAAAATTGATTTGATGTGATTTTAAGACCTTTAGCACTGCCCAAGGACTTGAAAAGTCATTTTAGAAAAAGCAAAGACCCGGAACAGAGAATAATCAAGAGTGTTGGTTTCCTTTATTTTTCCACAGTTCTTTTTTAGTTTTCAGTTTCAGTCCTTCCCCTGCCTTCTCCCAGGCCACGGCCTTGCATCAGAGAGTTGAGAAGTTGGAAAGGCTGTTTAGTAATGATTTCTAATGCTGGAAATGATCCAACAACTTTGACAAGCAGATATTTTCACTTTTGAATACCCAGCCAGCCAGAAATAGACAAGCCTCAGTAAACAGAACCATGTGCTCTTTGCGCCACCTAGAGACCGTCTTGCAGGAACACCGAAAGCTGGCTGATGACGTAATCAGTGTCTGGCGGCAAAAGTTCTAGATGCCGTCAGCAGGCCTGTGCAGAATTCTCTCCGAACTTTCCAAAGAGGAGTAATCTTGCCTGTTAAACTCCTCACTGAACTTTAAGGAACAATGAGAGGTATGGCTAATCTTTTGGGTCTCTTTGAAGAAAAGTTCAGTTCATAAGACGAAGATTGCTATTTCTCATTTAGTCTCTCCCAAGTAGGCAACGTCCAGGAAGCATTAAATGACAAGTTTTTTGAGTCCATTGGGCCTAGATTTAATTTCAGCTTTCCCATTTCCCATGCGTGAGCCGGTGTGTTAGTCATTTAACTTGTTTGGGCATCAGTTTCCTTAGCTGTGAAATTAAGCAGCAACTTTTCTATTTCGAAGACATTAGAGGGCCCTGCAAGACCGTCTGCCAGCTACTACTGGCACAGCCCCTGGAGCTGAGGGTGTGCTCAGCCAATGGCACTTCCCTTCCTCCCATTTGGAAATCACACACCATGGAGATTACAGGCAGCTTTTTAAGTCTTCCAAAGTAGAAGGGGCCGTTGCTGCAACAAGGCGAGATGAACAGTTTGTCAAAGGATAATAAATCATAACACCTTGGAGAAGGCAGATGGGCCTCACATTCTTTCTTAGCATAGCATCCCCATGGAGCATGTTTTTCTGATAAAATAATTCTGAAATCTCAGTCTAAAGTGGCTAAATGGCTTGTATGGTTAGTCGTAACACAGAAAAGCATCTGTTTTTCAAACAAAGCTGCTTAATCTTCTAAGATCTCTTAGTTACTGATTCTCTAGCTTCAAAATGGACCAGGCTTTGTAGGTCCCCTGGTGGGAGGAGGGGGGTGACGGTGGTCTGGGATAATACAATTATTGTAACTCCTAAGGAAGGGCTCATGTGTCCCTCAAAGTGATGGAAGGCAGAGTCTCATTTTTAGAATGACTTTACTTGGAGAACAGGGGAAAAGCTGTAAACTTTATTGATTGTAATGACCAAAAACTGTGCAAAGTGGCTTTTATACTTTGTGAAGCATTGTGTTCCTGGCCAGAGCCCCTTCAGAATTTGTCTCTGTCTTGATTTAAAATGTATACCTTCTCTATTTATGAATTTTACCGTTTATAGTCTATTGGCGGAGCGTCAAAAAGGAGATGACTGTAGTTCATCTTTCTGATCCCTTCTGAATCAAGGCAGATATTTAAATAGGATAAGGCTTTTTTTTTTCCTAGTTGCCTTTTTTTTCTTTCCTTTAGCTTGACCTGGGAGAAAATAAACTCATTTTGTTAAAAGAAACTGTTTCTGAACAATATAATGTGTTTTATAAACATTTCCCTTAACATGTTAAAATTGTCCTAAAAGAAAAAAAATGACTAATATGTGAAGTTGGAAAAGTAGTGGGTAATGGGAACAATATTATTTTAGAATTAAGACTCATGTTCAAATTTTTGAGAGGATTTGCTACCTTCTTGGGTGATAGAAGATAATTATAGTTGCACGAGTATAATTATACATAATTACATATGCAGTGCTTGGTGTCATGTTAATGTATTTTTCCCCAAATACAGATGGCAGGGAATGAAGTGAACTGCATATTTATACATTTCTTCCTCCATCTCTGTCCCCGTCCTCATACCACAGAAGGAAGCATCTTAGTCCAAATGCTACTAGGATTCAGAAATTATTCTGAGAGTCTAATATTGTGATTAAGCTTGTGTTCTGGATTCAAGTTGCCCACACTGATTTCTGACTCCCTGGAAACTGCTGTTGTTGCAAAATACCATGTCCCTGAACATGCACTAAAATCATTCCGGATAAAGGAGAACCCAGTCTAGAGTGGACTTGTCTTATATTTCAGGGCTGTCCCCAGCAGGACTGTATCATAAGCATTTGTCCCTGAGAATGTGACTCAGTCCCTTAG